CGTTGTCCCACATGGGCTTCAGCTCAACAGCTTCGAACCTTCTGGTCAGAGACTAGGTTGCCCAGCAACCCAGGATTAAAAGGGCGCTCTTTTTTACTTAGGGAGCTTGATAAGGGAACCTAAACCCCAAAAAAAGGAACAAGGGCACTACTGAGCATCCTAGGAGAGGTCAGCTTCCGTCTATTTTGGGTGATTGTGTTCAGGGTTCAGTGATGCCTCGAAGGCCCGAAGTCCATACCCTAATCCGTAAACCCTATTACCCTAAGCCCCAGAATCCTCAAACCCTCAAAAACCCAGCCCTAAATTACAACCGGGTTTGGCCCCTAAACCCTAAACCCTAAACCCTAAACCCTATATTAAAGCCCTCGACCCTAAACACTACATGGCCGCGTGGCTGGTACCGGGCATCCACGCCATCCCCCACCTTCTCGAGTCCAGTTTGGGGGTCGCTGGGTTTAGGGTTTAGGATTTAGGGTTTAGGGCTTAGGGTTTAGGATTTCGGGCCTTGGGTTTGGGGGGGTTTACGGGGTAGGGGGTTTCGGGTTTAGGGGGTGAGGGTTGCCAGGTGTATACAGGTTTCAATTGCGCCTTCGGCATAGTAGATTGTTCAATGCAGATTTGTCTCAAAGATCTATATCACTTCCTGCACTTTGAGTACACTGATTGTCCATGACCTCCATTGTTTTTTTGTAAAAATGTGGATACAAGAACGAGCTTGTTGTATGCACTTGCTGTTTGAACATGCATCTCAAGGCAAAAGGTTCGGCATTTTAGTTCGGTTTGTGGTTGGAAGCTTCTCAGCGCCCCCCCCCCCCCCCCCAGGGGGGGTAGGTACCTCGGGAAACTTAGCAAAGCTTCAGGAGCCTAAGGGAATAGTTGAGCCCCCCTCCTATGAGAACCCTAAAAATCTCAGCCCCCCCCCCCCCTCCCACCCACCCCACCCGGTAGGCTAATAGTGCTGTCTTGGAACGAGATACCTTGACAACCCACGTTTGTCTTTGGGGGGGGGGGGGGGGAAACATAGGAGCCTTAATAATTAGAATAGGGTTTTGGGGGATATTATAAGATAATTACAAAGGGACCCAAAAGGGAATACTAGTAGTAGCTATTACGACCCCTATAGTATACCCTAAACCCTAACCCTAACCCTAAACCCTAAACCCTAAACCCTAAACCCACGATGTCCGCGCCTCATCCTGGTCCCGCTTGAGCATGTTGTCCGAGGCGCAAAGGACGCCCAGGGCCTTTTCCTTCTCCTCCGCGTTTCCTGCGGTCCGGGCGTTTCTTTGAATGCGTGTTTGAATATGTGTGTGTGTGCTTTGCCGAGCTCAATTCATCTCTTGATTCGCTTGATTCTGTTCAGTTGGCTCTCCGGGGGTGTGGAGGCAGGGGGGAAGAGAGGGGGGGGGGGGGGTCAGCTTGCTTGCATGCATGCACATAACTTACTCTAAGGCTCTAAGGAAGGACTAGGCCAAATGCCACCTTTGCGGTTTGGGGTTTGGAAAGGTTGCAAAGCTACACACCCCTAAAACCCTAACGCCGAAAACCTAAGCACTACACCCCCAGGGATTTTGGTGGACAGGCTTGCTGACCTGTGAACCGTGCTTCATGAGAACCTATATGAGCCCGGAACCGTGCGTGAAGAAATTCACGAAATCAGTACGAAGAGCTCGCAAGGGTGTTCTGCCAGAACGGTTTAAGGGGTTGAGGGAATGGAGGTTAGGATGAAAAAAACTGAGGGTTTGAATCCTAAACTCTTTGAGCCCTAGAATGACCTGCATGAATGCACCCTCAACCCCCAAACCCTAACCCTAAACCCTAAACCCTAAACCCTAAACCCTAAACCCTAAACCCTAAAACCCTCAACCCTAAAGCTCTCTTTCACATGTGTAGTTAAACCTTTAATCTAAGGTCTTGGCGGGCATTGCCATGCCCACTTGTTGTTCTACCGTACTCACGGCAAACTTTACCATGCCCACGTGGCTATGGGCGTAGTGAAGTTTCCGTGGGCATGTCGAAGATTGCTGTGGGCATTGGGGAGGTGGCCACGGCATTCCTTACCATGCCCATTGCAAGCTTTTCCACGTCTCGGAACGCTTTACCATGCCCACAGAAAACGTTACCAAAACGCCCTTCGGCAAAAACATCGTGGGCGTGGTAAAGTTTTACGTGAGCACGGCAAAGTTTGCCATGGTCATGGGAGAGTTCTGCGTGGGCAAGAGCTTCCCAGTACGGGCTGTCCCGGGGTTTTCGGGGACGGGTTCCTTCCGGGACATTTGTCCCCCCCCCCCCCCCGGAACGCCCCGGGTTTTCACGGTGTCAGGGCTTCAAGTCAAGGAGTTGTTGTTGTGTGTCTTGTCGCCTGACAAGAAAGATGTAAGTGTTATATTTTGGGCATGGTTTTTTTTGTTATTCTCGGGGTGTTTTTCCTTAGTCTCTGTCGGTGATGGTTTGTATTCTTATTCTGCCGGTTCTTTTTTCGGGCCTCAGGGCCCTCCATCCTCATCCGATGGTGTTTAAGTTTATTCTACGGGTTCTTTTTCTTAGCCTGGGCAATCCGGGGGGGGGGGGGGGGGTTTAGGGTTTGGCAGATTGAGGAGTTCAGCTTCCACGATCCACCCTGCAGAACAAGGTAGCGTTGGGAATGCTGGGCAAGTGGTTCAAGATGGAAACGGTGGAGGTGGTAGTTGGTGGGGAATGGCTGGTAGTGGCGGGAAGGGGGAAATGCTGGGAATGGCGGAAATGGCGGGTACATAGTGGCTGGTACTGGCGGGTAAGGGGGGGAATGGTGAAACTGGTCAGGACTGGTAGAGAATGTCTAGCACTTTCCGGAAAGGGGGGAATGATGGAAATGGTGAAAATGGCGGGTTTTTGAGGGCGCGTAGTGATGCGTAGTGGTTGGGCAGTTATAAGTTGTGGGATATCGAGAAATGGGGGGAACGGGGGAATTGCGGGTGATGAATGGTGTGCAATGGTGGGGGTGAGGGCGGCAATATGGGCGGGAAATGGTGGGAATGATGGGCTATGGTGCGAATGAGGCACGGTGGGTGGACATGGTGTGCAGGGGCGTATTTCAGGTAATCGTGGGCATGGTGGGAATCGTGAGTGCTGGCGTGTGATGGTGGATAGTGATGGTGGGTATAGTGGGGATGGCGGCAATATGGCGGGCAATGGGGAACATGGCAGGTCATAGGGGGAATGCGAGAATGGGTTAGTAGGGGTAAGAGTGCGACTTGTAAGGAATACTGGTGAGGCATGGCAGGAGTGGTGAGGAATGGTGAGGAAAAGCAGGATGGTGACTAATGGTGGGACTGGCAGGGAATACTGGCGGGGTGGAATGGCGGGAATGGCAGGTAATGGTGGGAATGGAGTCGATGGGTAACGGTGTTGTATGGTGGGCTTCATTATCGATAGGCCTTTCTAGCATCAAAACTAGCTTGTTTGGGAGGTGTCGGTCAAGTGCTTTGTACTTGTTGCCTGAACACGTCCCAGAATGGTACGCTGGGCATATATATAATGACACCTGAATATGGCATGGTGGGTAGCAGGATGGAGAGTACCCGCAACGGTGGGTGTGTCTCGGACCGGGTGGTATGATAGGAATGGTAGGGGATTGGTGGGGAATGGCGGGCAGTGGTGGGGAATGGTGGGGTGGGGGATATTGGGAATGGTGGGAATGCGAGCTGGTGGGCATGGTGGGAAAGAGGTGGGAATGGCGAGCTGGTGGGTAAATATTGGGTGGAAAGGAGTGGTGGATGGTTAGGTGGGTCGACATCAGGTGGTGGGTGAGGGTTGGGAAAAGTGGTGGGTGCTCGACGAATGGTGGTGGGTTCATAGTTGGCATAATGGGGGGGTTGGGGGGGGGGGGGGTGGGGGGTGGTAGGGGGGGTGGGGGGGGTGGGGTGGGGGGGGGGGGTGGGGGGGTGGGGTGGGGGGGGGGTGGGGGGGTGGGGGGGGGGGGGGGGGGGGGGAATAAGAAAAAACACCCGCGAAATAAATGGGAGCACCGTGAGAATAAATTGCCAAACCCGGGGGATAAGAATGCCAACACATGGAATAAAGAATGGAACCCTCCGAATGATGTGAAGAAACCCGCACAATAAACCCCGAAAAATCCTGCTAAATCCTTGGCCGGCCCAGAGAGAATAAAGAAAAAAACCATCAGGATAAAAATAAATACGCAGCCCTTATATTTTCTTCATGTTCCGGGATTCTTAGGGCGGGCGGGTATTTTTCGAACGCTCGAGAAACTGCTTGACTAGTGAATGATTGGACTTGAGACTTGAGATGCTGAACTCTAAACCCTACACCCTACACCCTACACCCTACACCCTACACCCTACACCCTAAACCCTAAACCCTAAACCCTAAACCCTAAACCCTAAACCCTAAACCCTAAACCCTAAACTCGACTTCCGCTCGGTTTGGCACTCCCTGCGGGTCGTTTCGTCCACATGTCTTTGCAGTACTTGGGGCTGCCATCTTTGTCATCGGGCGCCCTCATCGACACCTCAGCTGAGACATCCATCCGGTACACCGCGACCAAGCCCCCCACCTGTACCTTCGTGCTTAGGGGTTTAGGGCTTTTAGGGTTTAGTGTTTAGGGCTTTTGGGGAAACATGTGCCTGCACCCTAAACCCGCTAATTTCGCGGTTGCTTTCTAAAGGCATTTCGTATCGGCACTGTAGGGGCCTGAGACAACCCAGATCATTGAATTAGCGAAAGCCCCTGGGCGTCAGGTATCTCGCCAGCATCGGGTCATCGGGTCTTGGCATGCATCTATGTTGTTCTGCGGCTTTAGGCCCAGACACAGCACATGTGAGATGACAAAACATTTAAGTGTACAGAGTCAACATCACACGCTTTTCCAAATAAGCTTCAAAAGAAGAAGTCAAACACCGAGAGCTTTCTTTGCTGCTTGGGTCTGAAAACCGTCCGTGAGTGCTTGAGCCGAGCTCTAACCCACAAGGGTTATGAGCCCAAAGCTCGAACCCACTGCCATGGCTTCCGCAAGTTGGGCTGAGTCGGTCAATCGTGCGATGGAGGGTGAGGAGTCCGAGGTTTCTGCTATTGATCCCATGCTGCTTGGGGGAGTGAGTGACGACCCTAAGGAGCCGGAGTATGACCAGGGACTGCCGACGCAGGCACCATCAGATCCCGCCATGGAGGATGAGCAAGTTGACCGTAGGCCCCTACAAGAACGCCAAGCTCCCGCTCCGGTAGCCAGACTTTTACCACAGTCTCCAGGGCACAGTGAGTTGTCTCGCATGGAAAAGGGAGCACACTGGGAGATTGATGATGAGGAGCTGGTGCCGGACTACAACAGGATGTTGCCTCGGGGGGTAGAAAGTGGACCGTGTGATCGGCGGAACGATCAGAGCTTGCTGCCCACCAACGCCATGGATGTGGACCGGGATGATCGCGTGCCCCAGTTGGCAGCTGGGGGGTCCGGAGGTCGTGTGACCAATCCAGCGCCCGCTCCGGTCACGTCTGGGGGGATTCCGGTTGAGGTGTCTCTTTTGCAAGCAAACGTGGGCCAGTTGGTGCAGCAACAGGTAAGCAACATCGTGCAAGCGCAGATGGCCCCCTTGTTCACGCAGCTCTTTGATCGGTTGGAGGCCATGGAGGCTAGACAGAGCCGTCTTGATGAGCGAGCCAGGGTTGCCCAACAGGCCTCAACTGAAGCAGATGCGCGTGCTCTTGCTGGAAACTTCGCTGCCAGTGTAAGAATTAGTGCTTCGCAGGGTGATGGTGGCCATCATGGAACAACGGCAGCGCAGCGTGGTGAAGGGTCCTCTGCCTCAGTAGCTCGTGGTAGGAAGGCCGTGGAAACATCAAGGAGCCACGGTAGAGATGAGGCCTCAGCAGATCCGTCAAATGTTTCTGGGCACGCTGATCAGGGCTCCGGCCTTGGGGAACAAACGGGGGTGGTGGAGGTTGCTGGAGTTCCACACGCCTGGCGTCTAACGTCGGATGGATTGCAGTTGCAACCCCTAAGCACTCGTAAGCCCAGCACAATCGTGCAGCCTGGAAGTCAGAACATCTTTGACGGAAGAGCTCACTCTCCTTTTGAGGCCACTGACTCTGGGAGCAAACTCGTGCGGTCTAGGAGTGCGAGCCCGGCTAAGAAGAGGGCCACGTCGGAGGGCAGGGCGCAAGACATAAAGGGATCTAGGGCACTGAGAGCCACCATCTCAGATCCTGTGCCAGTAAGGGCTCCTGTGTTTGAGGCTCCTGCTAGGAATTCGCCTGAGTCTTTCGTGAACCCCTGTAAGCCCAGGATTGTGTACCCGCTGTCACCAGGTGGAACTGAAATCAAACCACCACCTGGAGGCCCGCCTCATTCTCCCATCCCGGATGCGCAAGGACAGGGGACAGTCCTGAAGCAGGTGCCTTATCCTTGGCCAGCACCAGGTGGGGCGTTGTGGGGAAGTAGTCCGCTCACAGCACCTCCAGGACTTTCGGAGGAAATTCGAATGGGTCAGGAGTGTAGCGGTAGCGCTCAGCCAGGTCCGGAGTACAAGAGTAGTGGCGGCGATCCTCTCATTCAGGGTCTTGGGTCCAGTGGCGATGTGCCTGCGAATCAGGGCTCCAGGAGCGGTGATCAGGTATCCAAGGGTCTTGAATGGTTCTTTGACAGCATGAAAAAGGCCCTCACGTCGTACGGGGATGGGGAGGTCAGAGCAGAAGAGGTGAAAACCTCATTGGCGGAGCTGCCAAAACTGGTGATCAATGAAGCGGATAAGGACCTCTCTCCATTGTTGGCAGGAGATTGGCTCACACTATCAGGACCGACCATGCGCGACTTGAGTGCCACTAGCGTACAGTGGTGGGACCAGGTCCTTCAGGCAGCAACGGATTACTATCAAGCCTGGCTTCGCGCCACTCCGGTAGCCAGGTTGTCAATGAGACCTGAATCCCCTGCTCGTTTTGAGGGTACCAAGTTCGCTAGGGTTGAGCAACGTGGCTTGCAATTGATTCTCCGCGCGGTTCCAAACGCGTTGAAGGATGAACTGGTGTCCACTCAGAAGATGACGTGCATTGACGCAGTGGCTCTGGTTTACTGCACGTATCAACCAGGGGGTCTTAAGGAACGCTCTGCATTGTTGAGATTTCTTACTAGCCCGGAAAGTGCCTCAGATGTTCCCAATGCCCTGAAGCAGATCAAAAGGTGGAGCCGTTGGCGCCGGCGTGCCGAACAACTCGAGGTTAGCATCCCTGACCCAACCTTATTGCTGGCAGGGCTGGACGGCTTGACTGCAAAGGCGCTAGCCAGGCACACGGAAGTCGTCTTCAGACTTTCTTCATTTCGGTATTCCCAAAACATTGATGTGGTTCCAACCTTACCGAAAGTGTGCGATTTGGCAAGCATGCTCCAAGCTGAACTAGAAGCCCTTGACAGTGGCGCTGCCAAAAACCCAAAGGCTGCTAAACTTGACACTCCCCAGGACTCCCAAAAGGGCAAGGGTCAGACTGGCAAGTCTAAGTGCAAACACTGGCTGTCAACGGGAGGGTGTCATTATGGCAGGTCATGCACGTTTGCGCATTCGGTGCTTGGAAAAGGGGATAAACGTTGCTTCAACTGTTCTTCAACAGAGCATTTCAGGGAAGCGTGCCCCTACCCTCAGCAGACCGCCGATCAAGGAGACGCCAACAAGTCAAAAGGAAAAACAAAAAAGGGTGCTAAAAAGGGTGATGCCGGTAAGCCTGCAGCGAGTACCACGTCTGCAGTGGAAACTGCTGCAGCCACTCAGGCCTCAGATCGGGCAGGCTCCGACATCAGTGAAGAAGCACGCCAGAACATGTTTAAGGAGGTAACGGCAGCCATCAAGCAGTTGACAGCATCAGCGCCCGCTGCGGCGAAGGCTCTCAGCCTGTACCCTATGTTGAGTGGACAAGCATGTCAAAAGCCTGTTGCAGGTGAGCAGCTAGGACTCCTAGACTCAGGAGCATCAGCATGTGTGCGCCCTCAAGAATCCCCAGATGAAGTTGTCGGTTGGAGGACGGTTGCTCTTGCTGAAGGGGAGACCACAATGGGAGTGAATCGTTGGGGCACACTTCTTGGGGCGTCCACTTCAGAACCAATAGTGGCGATGGCCAAGTTAGTCCGCATGGGTTTTCACATCGCATGGCGAAACAAAACCTGCACGGTAGTACATCCTGAGCTGGGACGGGTGCCTGTCATGATAGTCGAAGGGTGCCCCCGTGTAAATCGTCATGTCGCTCTAGACCTCATACGAAGGATTGAGCTCTGGGAGGAACGGATGGGCGAGCGCTCCAGGAGGCAGGATGAGCGGGTGGCCCTTGTGCAACAAAAGATGACTGGGAAGAGTGCTCATGATGTGGCAGAAGGGCTGTGTAGGGCGCTTTGGGACGGCGATGCTGAGGTGACTACCGCTTGGACGGAGGCTCTCATGAATGCTATGTTCCCCGAAACCCCCGATAGGATCAAGAAAGAGGTCTCAACACACATTGCACACACTCCAGAAGCTTTGTGCTGGAATCGTCGGAAACGCCGCTCCATTGAGAGATCGCGTGGAGTGCTTTTGCACTTGTGTTGTGGCAGCTGTCGTGGGGAGTTCCAGGCTACTGCAGCGCGCCACGGCATGTATGTGTTGGACGTTGACTGCAAAGAAAACCTCAACAGTCCTCAAACCATGTCGTATTTGATGAAGCTAGCTGCCTTAGGCAAGTTCAAGGGCGTGTTGTCCGGTCTGCCTTGTCGCACGCGCAGCATGCTCAGGAACCGACCCCCGGGTCCACCAGTCATTCGCAGCAGGGTTGGGGAGGGAAGATGGGGCTTGGGCACCGCGGATTCTCGCGAACAGGCCAAGATGTTTGAGGATGATTGCCTCCTTATGCGCACCTTGCTGTTGAAGGTAGTGGCTTCCACAGGTTTGCGGCTTCGGTATCAGGATTCACCGCCACTGTTTAGCTTAGTGGAGAACCCCAGCGATCCTGTGTCAGTCCTGGGTCCTGCTGCTTCAGACCTACCGTCCCTATGGGTAACCCCCGAATGGCAGACTGTACAGGAATTCTTGCAAGTACGGTTGTTTCACATCAATCAAGGCCCTTTAGGTCATTGTAGGATCAAACCCACCACTATTTCAGCGCATGGGCTCTATTGGCCACAATGGGCACGTGACATTCGGGACATGACTTGCTTTCCGGTGTATGGCGGTGCAGATGATAGTAGCTCGTGGGCTGCGTGGGCTCCTGGGTTGAAGGCTGCTGTAAGGGAAGCAATTGAGAATGTGGGGGATGTGTGGAAACGTTATCAGGCTGATCCTGAGGCGTTGCGGGCATTGGCTCCGCGTAAAGTTCGCACTTCCTTTGCAGACCATGTTGCAGGTGGCCACGTCCCTTTTCGAGCCGACTGTCGACATTGCCTAGAGGGACGTTTGAGAGCTAGACCCCATAGACGTCAACCTGCTGCTGAGTCATTTGTCCTGAGCTTGGACTTGATGGGGCCTCACAGGGGTGGCAGGGATGAAGTGCTTGATGAGGTAAGGTATGCTTTGGTAGCAGTCTACACGTTTCCGGAAACACTGGGTGTTGGTGGAGTAGCAGCCCCAAATGACCCCGATCATGGCCCGCCTGTAGATCCTGAAGTCCAGCCCTGGGAAGAGCCGGAGGAACCAGATCCTGAGGAAGCTGCAGTAGCTGAGGCACCAGTTGATCTTTCAGATGAAGCGGAGCTTCCAAGGGTTCCCATGGTTGAGTTGCTGTGGGTAGAACCTTTGCGCAGAAAAACAGAAGCGGAAACCCTCCGAGCAACCAAACGCATCAAGGCAGCAATCTCCCTTCTAGGACTCCCCATTGTCAGAATACACACAGATGCGGGGAAGGAATTCTGCAACAAGAGTTTCAGAGCCTGGTGCAGTGACAACGCCTTCGTGAAAAGCTGCACAGGAGCGGATGACTTCCGTTCAAACGGACGGGTGGAAAATGCCATTGGGGTGCTAAAGGGTCGTGCGCGCACGTTGTTGCGGGCTGCAGACAGTGAATGGCAGGATTGGCCGTTTGCACTGCGGCATGCCGCGGCCCAACATCGCATGTTCAATTTCCAGCGTTTAGGCTGGAAAACTGAGGGACTGAAGCCGTTCAATGCTTTGGTCCATGTGCAAGAGCGGTCATGGAGAATCGGGGAGTGGGGGAGGAGGGCTGTTCCAGCTAGGATCCTTGCTCCTGCGCAGGAGGTCGAGCGTGCGTACGTCGTGCGAACAGAAGATGGAAATCTGCGCAACGTTAAGGTTCTCTTTGGCGGCGTTCGTGAAGGGCCTCCTGTTGCTGATGATGCTCCGCCTGACGCTCTTGATGCGGTCGAAGCTCCAATGCCGCCTCTCATTCCAAGACGTGTGAGAGGAAAGAGTCCAGGACTTGGCGTCGTTGAGCGACCCCTCGGAGCAGTTGCTAAGGTAGGTGCTGCCCAAAACAGATTGAGGTTGGCTCATGCTGAGGATGAAGCTGCCAGTTTCTTAGCTGCCGCATCGCAGTATCAATCTCAGAGTGCTTCTGCTGTGTTGCTTCGGTCAAGTTTAGTGGCAGCAGCCACACAGGGACGCACCGAACGGTCCGCTGCAGGAAGGGTCATCATGTTTGGGGCATACAGTCGGGGTGGGATTCGCGGTGTTTCAGCCGCCACTACGCAGTGTCCAGGTCTTTCCGCCCTGGCCGTTCGTATCATTAAGGAGGCCGCTCCTCGGGCCCCTTTTACTAGCATAGCCCTTTTGATGCAAACTTGTGCCCTACCCCACAAAAACAAGTACAACTTACCCCAAAATAACATCATTGTGCCGCTTGAATTGCCTTCTCCAGGGAACGGGGGAGGTATCTGGATCGAGGACTCCCAGGGCCATGATCTTCGGGAGGTTCGGACGGGTTTGTGGGTTCGGGGGAGGGTGGTGGACTGAGGGAACTAGGGTTTTGCTCGTGGCCTTCTCGGTAAAGGGTTCTTTGTTGTTGACGTCAGCTGAGCGTCTTCAGTTGCAGGAAGCTGGGTTCATGCTACCTGATGCTCCCGATGCTCGGGAGGGGGGAGGGAGCCCAGATGGTGAGAGTGGTTTTTCTGAGTTTGCTGAGCCGCATTTTTCCCAAAACCCTAAAAAACCAAACATAACTTGCGCAGCTCCTCAGAAACATGTGTCGTTTGCTGAAGAACCTGAGTGTGTTCATGTGCCTTGGAACGCTGAGTCTGAGGCAGGGGTTGTTGAGAGGTCCCCGGCTCCGGCCGGCGTAGGAGCGGGGGATGCTGATGAAGTTGGAGTAGGGGGTTGGCGTGGTGTTGACCCGGCTCCGGCTGGCGAAATGAAGACATGTCTAGTGTGTAGTGCGTGTTGTGCGGATCCAGTTGGGGTGTGCACGTTGTGTGAACGGTATGTGACGCAGTATGAGGCCTCCGGCCAGGATGCCAGTTGCCCAGGTTGGGGTGGTGGCGGTCCGGGGGAGCTTGCTAGGACCGGGACGAGGGCGGGAAGCATTGGGGCTGGAGGCTGCGATGCTCGTGATGCTCGAGAGGAGCCTGGGGAAAGGTCTGGCGAGAACCAGGCAGAGGATCAGCTTCGTGCTTGTGCTGAGGGCAATGGCCCTACGGACATGGGCTGCTGTGAAAGTTTGGAAAGTGTTGAGGGCCTTACTGTTTTTGAGGCTCCAGAGTGTGGCTTCTTTGTTGATGCCACCTCCTGTGAAGAAGATTCCTCTATAGGATGTATGTGGGATGGGGAGGGCTTCGAAGCCTTTGAAAATCGAGCCCTCAACTTGAAGATGATGATTGATCGTGAGTGCGAGTTTTTGAAAAGAGAAGCCCAAACCCTTGAAGACTGTGCAGTTTCTGAAGAGTTTCTCGTCAAAGCTGTGCGCGCGTTAGGGCAGGCTCAGGATAAAGCTGTGGAAAAGGCCCCTGAAGAAGTTGAGTTTTCCCTTTTGCCTGACTGTGAAATCCTGAGTAGCCATACTGTTCCCCTTCAAGAGGTGTACAAGCATTTTCATCTCTGGAGAAAAGCTGCTGAACAAGAGCTGCAGTCCTTGATTGAGGAGAAGGGTGCTTTCAAACGGGCCTCTCTTGCAGATCTAAAGCGGTTAGAGGAGCGTGGAACGAAGGTAGTCATGGTTCCTGGGAAAGCAATCTTCACCCGCAAATCGGGTGGCCGTTTTAAGTGCAGAGTGGTGATTTGCGGAAACTTTGTCCCTCAGGGTTCTGGAAACGGCGACAGTCAGGGGGATCAAGCGTCGTTGTATGCTGCGGGTTGCGAGGTGTCACATGTGAGACAAATTGCTGCTAGAGGGGCTCGAGTTGGCTGGGCAGGTTTTTTGTTGGACATCAAAACAGCATTCCTGAACAGTTTGTTGTTGGATCCCATAAAGCCGCGCACTGCCCCACCTCCAACAATGACCGAGAACCCCGCTGAGATTATTGCCGTGAAACCTCCAAAGATCCTGATAGCGCATGGGTTGGCAAAAAGTGATGAGTATTTCCTTTGCTTGAGGGCGGTCTACGGACTACCCCAATCTCCTAGAGATTGGGGCATCACAAGAGATGTCACCATAGCAGGCATGGAGATCGTTGTGCCGCCCACTGACGTGACCCCAGAAGAAATGCCATCGCTTGATCACTCAACCCGGGAAGCCCTGGGAAAGGTGATGAAGTTGGTTCCCTCAGCCTCAGACTCGCAAGTGTGGGCCCTTAGAGTTGCGAATGCAGATTGCGATCTTCAACCAGGCCCTGCGCTCGCGTGGATAGCAGTCTATGTGGACGATATTCTGATCATGGGGCCCCGGGCTGTAGCGCTTGCTGTTGTGAACAAGATTAAGGCTGCGTGGGAGACAGGGTCAATGAAGAAAATTCCGCAGTTGATCGAAGGAACAGCCTCGTTCTTTGGCATTGAGTTTGCCTGGAGGGGAAATCAGCTGATTTTGGGGCAACAGGGGTATATTCAAGATCTCATGAAACGGTACCCGCATGTGAAACTGCAAACCACTCCGTTGCCGCCCGGAAATTTCGAAATCCCTGAACTGGCTGTGGAGGAGAAAGACCCAAACGCACTCCGCGCGTGCCAGACGTCTCTCGGAGAGATGCTCTGGATTGCTACGCGTACCCGGCCCGATCTTATGTATGGCGTGAGCAAATTGGCCTCAGAAATGTCGCGCAACCCAGTGGCCACATTACCGTACATCGAACATCTACTAGGGTACTTGTTCAACACAGTCGATGTAGCGCTAGTGTATGGCCCCAAGGTCCCCACCTTAGGTGAGTCTGGTAGTGTAGCGACAGTCTCAGGAGCCAATGTTTTAGAGGTCCATACCGACGCGGGCTTCGCCCCGCTAGCCGGACGAAGCCAGGAGTGCGCTATACTCTTTCAAGAGGGAGCTATTGTGACCTGGCTGTCCAGTAAGCAACCATTTACGGCCCAGTCCACTGCCGAGTCAGAACTCTTAAGCACCATGACTGGGTTCAACGTAGGTAGGGCCCACCAGCTGTTAGCAAGTGAGCTGTGCGGAGGTGACGTCCGCCTTGTGGTGCTCAACGATAACCAAGCTTGCCTACAAATCATTCAAGTAGATAATGCATCCTGGCGGACTCGCCACTTGAGAATCAGGGCAGCAGCTCTGAAGGAACAATATCTTGCTGACCAGGTTGTGGTTGGGTATGTCTCAAGCTCCAGAAATGGAGCAGACCTCGGGACAAAGTCCGTTCCATTGCAGCGACTTCAGGAGTTGATGCAAGTGTTGGGGCTGGGTTCCTTGAAGGACCAAGGCACATTGTCCCCCGCACCTGTCGCTAATCAGAGCGGAGTCTCCGTCAGCCAAAGGGCATTGGTTTCAGTGGTGCTGTTGCTGTGCGCGACAGAGGCCGAAACAGTCAGGACTGAGCCTGATCTGAGTTCGGAAAGGGAGTGGGACTTCACTATCTTCGTATGCATGGTTGCGGTGTGCAGCATTGTTGTTTGGGAAGCCTTGAAGTGGTTGCTCAGGAAGGGAATTTGGACTTTTTGGGTTAAGTTATGGGGAAACCGTGACATCGAAGAACCCGAAGCAGAGCTAGACACACTCAGCGAAGTGCAGCCTGATCATGAGGATGATCTTCGAGAGCTTCCCCAAATAGGCCCACCAATCCCTCGCCCCCATGAAGAGCCCGAACGACAAATTGCTCAGATGCCAGTCCCGCAAGAGGTGATAAGGTATGTAGATGACGAGGTGTTAATCTTCGCTGAGAGGGCACAAGCTCAAGAGTTTGAAAGGCTCACGGGGGTTGGGGCTATTGAGGCCGGACTTCGAAATCGGAATCTAGGCCAACGCATTTACCGAGAAGAACCAGATATTGAACCACCAGAGGCTCCGCCTTTGCCGCCAAGGCCTGTACAAAGGGCAGACAGCGAAGGGGTTCACCGCGAGGCGGACGCCCGAAGTCAGCGTGAACAGATTGCTTTTCCTCAAGCACCTCTGAGACCTCATCTAGTGTGGCCAGTTCCTGTACAGCTTCCGAACCACGAGGTGCTGAGAACAGCTAGCCCTTGGGGAGGACCTTTGAGTGCCGTCTTCCAAGTCCCTCCAGCAGGAGTCCGAGATCACTTCATCTACGACGCTCACCGCCGTCCAAATGTCTTGATCCGGTGGCATGGGATGCCGAGATTGCGCTTGTTCTGTCCGTCAGACGCGCGCCTACCAGAGGTCATTCGAAGACAATCCTTGACGGGCAGAAGGAGGACGCTGATCGTTCATGCTGACGGTCGCACCGAACTCCGCGATGATCGTTTTGATGATCCCACCAACGCAAGGCATTGCTATGACAATGCTTGGCGTGGAAGAACCGAGCTTGAATTGCGTCCAGAACAGAATGAGTGAGCCACCGCGGGAGATCTCGACGAATGTGCCTCATTTTGAGGCAGGGGGAGAGCGAAAGCCCCTGGGCGTCAGGTATCTCGCCAGCATCGGGTCATCGGGTCTTGGCATGCATCTATGTTGTTCTGCGGCTTTAGGCCCAGACACAGCACATGTGAGATGACAAAACATTTAAGTGTACAGAGTCAACATCACACGCTTTTCCAAATAAGCTTCAAAAGAAGAAGTCAAACACCGAGAGCTTTCTTTGCTGCTTGGGTCTGAAAACCGTCCGTGAGTGCTTGAGCCGAGCTCTAACCCACAAGGAATTAAAGCTCGCCCTGGATTCCTTCCCACCCCAAGCACCTGGCATGTTGGGTTCAGGGTTTAGGGTTTAGGGTTTAGGGTTTAGGGTTTAGGGTTTAGGGTTTAGGGTTTAGGGTTTAGGGTTTAGGGTTTCAAGTCAAGACCCTCCCCCCCCCCCTCAACCCCCCTTTTTCCGGTCAAGCAATTTATCCTGGACCCTCGTACCTAAGTCCTAAATCCTACACAGGGGGTATGTTCTTTTTTTCCCAGATCAGATAGGGAGGAAAAATCGCCCCCCAAAAACAAACCGCAAGATAGTATAATCTTTAAAATGGGAACCCCCCGGATGCTTTCGGAACCTTGAACCCTAAAACCCTGCAAACGCTAAAGGCCCCATAAACCCTGTAAACCCAAGAGACCGCCTACAAACCCTGCAAACCCTCCAAGGCCCTACTTTTTGCAAACCCCCACCCTCATAAGGGATGTTACTTGTTCTTTAGGGGCTATTTGGGGGCTACTTAGGTATATAGGGACCATAAGAGTACACACATAATAGATATATATATATATATATGTATGAGGCATATATAGGACAATAAGATTAAGGGTGTCCCTGCTCGGGTTCCCACCCTATACCCCTGAAATGAGAGCCCAGGGGCCGCGAAACGCACGAACATCATACGAGCCAGTTTCGCCACGATGGAGAGGACAATGCCAGGGCTGCCTGAAATGGGACGTTTAGAACCAACCTTCCGGCTGAGGACAACTGTGAACCCTAAACCCTAAACCCTAAAACCCCCCTGGGGCCCCCCTAAACCCTAAACCCTAAACCCTAAACCCTAAACCCCAATTCAACCCGGAATTTAGGCATTTGCAGCATGGACAATTCTGTGGGGTTTGAAATTTGGCCTTAGTTCTTCAGCCAGAGAAGACAGACAAGGTTCAACCTCAACAAGTACTGGCAAGAGTCTAAGGGTTCAGGCAATATAGGACTTGGGGCTTGCACTCTCAACTCCACAAGCCCACTAAGCCTGACAAGCTAGTTGTTGCCTTTTTTGCGGTTTAGGGTTTAGGGTTTAGGGTTTAGGGTTTAGGGTTTAGGGTTTAGGGCACTTTAAACCCTAAGGTTCATGGGTGGTTCTATGTGGGGGCACACACGTTGGACGATAGCTACGTTTTTGTTTATGCCAAGCAGGTACCAAGCAGAGCCTCAAGTGCACTAAGAAGGACCCTGCTTGGGTTGTTCTACTTAACTTAGTTGCTGAGTGCAGAAGCCCCGAAACAGTGTACACGTTCAGTTCTTTATACGGGGTTATAGTATCCCAAAAAGTGTAAAGTGCACTCATCCACCTGCTAAGCTAATAACCCTACTTAATGGTTCCCGAGTACCGCACGCGGAACCACCAAAAAAGGGGGCCAGTGCTGTCATACCAAGTTGGGTTCCCAAAACTTGCCAAAACCGATGTAGTATTGCTTTAGGGCATGAGACTCCGCAATGTGTAATAGTAGCGCAAATAAGCCAACCCTAAACCCTAAGGTTTAAACCCTAAACCCTAAACAGCTCCTCGGGAGCTCTGACGTGGGAAGGCCTGCCACCGCTTCCCCTTGCTCAGCAGTGATCTCCTGCTTTGGTAGGGTTTTTGGGTTGCGGGTCTAGGGTTTAGGGTTCCCCCCCCCCCCCCGCTGGCTCCTCAAACCCTAAGCCCTAAACTGTCGAATCTTGACTCCTTCAGATCTCCAGCCCTGACCTGAGGCTTCAGCCGCACAGACAACTTCGTGGGTGGGCTCCCTACACCCTAGTTTGTCTCCGAAACACACAAAAGACCAAACCCAAAACACAAATGGGGGTTTACGATATTAAGGGGCCCCTAATATAGAGCCCCACTTAGTAGGATTCACTTATATAATACGGACCCCAATAAGGTACCCCTAATGCCGTAAACCCCCCCCAATCCTAAACCCTAGTTAAAGCGGGTGAACTCCTCGACCACACCTCGTGCTTTCTTAAGGAACTTACATTTCGCGCAGCAGGGTTGGAAGACAAGAACATAATTCCGTTGTTCTACGGTGACTGAGTTTAAACTCTTTCATACATTCCGAGCTTTAGGTACCTAGCATGATACGGGGCATTTCTTCGTAGGCTACCCCAGTACCCTGGGACAAACTGTAGCGAGCTAGGCTTGTTCTGTTAAAGGGGGACTCCTTCGGCCCTCACGTCTCCCACTAGAACGATGTCAAGCAGTTGCTTCAAGCTTTAGGGCTTAAGGTAACCTAGACCCAACCAAGTGCCCTTTTTGGTTCGAAGGGGTTTCTTAAATCCCAGCCATAAAAGAAGAGAATGAGGGCCTACTCCGGGTCCCAGTTAAGGTCTAGGGTCTGACGTTTCTTCGGCCCTAAAGTCCAAAACGTTGTACCAGCCGAATTGAATCGCCCTAAACCCTAAACCCTAAACCCTAAACCCTAAACCCTAAACCCTAAACCCTAAACCCTAAACCCTAAACCCTAAACCCTAAACCCTAAACCCCTTTCGAATTTAACCTCCTCCCCCCCTCCCCGCCCCTGCCCGCAAACCCGATAAAGTGCCGCCAAGAAAACACTTAAGATCCTGGAGCCGCCAAGCCCTAAACCCTAAACCCTAAACCCTAAACCCCCCTGCAAATTCAGGGACGACAGGTCTAGAGGGATGACGGGTCTTAAGGGCTTAAGGTACTCGAGTTCGTGTGCCTCCACCTCCAGGTAGTCGGGCTTCGTCGCCTCAGAGTGGCAAGCTTTGAGCGGATGCCTTTTCCAAGGGTTAGGGTTTAGGGTTTAGGGGTTTAGGGCTTTAGGGCTTTAGGGTTTAGGGCTTTAAGGTTTAGGCTGTTCAATTGTGCATGTCCTGGGTGTGGGTTGGGGAGAAAGGGAGGACCGGGGGGGCGGGGGCAAACGCCCATAAACCCTAAACCCTAAACCCTAAACCCTGAATCCTAAACCCTAAACCCTAAACCCTAAACCCTGGGTTTAGGGTTTACGGCTATAGAGCCCCTAAATAACTCCTGTATAGTCCCCATGCACCCCAAACCCTAACCCCCAACCCCAAACCCCTAACCCCTAACCCCAAACCCCAAACCCCTAACCCCTAACCCCTAAACCCTATACCCTAAACCCTAAACCCAACCTTCAAGCACTGAAAGGACACCCTCCCCACAAGTCCGGGTGGCGAGAAGCTCGAGGTTGACCAGGCGGATCTTCCTCAGCTCTGTCGGTTTAGGGTTTAGGGTTTAGGGTTTAGGGTTGAGGGTTGAGGGTTGAGGGTTTAAGGTTAAGGTTTAGGGTTTAGGGCGTAGGGCCCCCTGTTTCGGGCTTCCGTGGAGTAACGGCGGTACGATTTTGGGGGTACATGAGGAGGACGACGATCTGGGGCTCAGCGGCCATGAAGGCTTGTGAAGTAACATAAAGGCTTGCATCCGAAAGCTGCGAAGGCCAAACCCTAAAGGACAGGGCTCACAGCGTTGATTAAAAACCCTAAGCCCTAAACCCTAAACCTTAAACCCTAAACCCTAAACCCTAAGCCCTAAGTCCCAAACCCTAAGCCCTAAGCCCAAAGCCCTAAACCCTAAGCCCAAAGCCCTAAACCCTAAGCCCTAAGCCCTAAACCGTAAGCCCTAAGCCGTAAGTCCTAAACCCTAAGTCCTAAACCCTAAGTCCTAAGTCCTAAGTCCTAAGTCCTAAGTCCTAAACCCCAAGTCCTAAACCCCAAGTCCTAAACCCCGAACCCTAAACTCTACACCCTAAGCCCTAAGTCCTAAGTCCTAAGGCCTAAACCCTAAACTCTAAACCCTAAGCCCTAAGTCCTAAGTCCTAAGTCCTAAGTCCTAAACCCTAAACCCTAAACCCTAAACCCTAGGCCCTAAGCCCTAAGCCCTCAACCCGACTCACTCAAGGGTCTCCCGGCCATGCTAGAATTGGCGCCAGGGCTTAGGGAGAGTGTGGGGCGAATAAACCCTGAACCCTGAAGCCTCAGGCTTTCTAAGGGTTTAGGGTTTAGGGTTTAGGGTTTAGGGTTTAGGTTGATAGGTTTAGGGTTTAGGTTGATAGGTTTTAGGGCTCGGGCGTCAAGGCCGCAAGGCTCAGGGCCACACAGGTTTCCTTAACTAGGATGTAGGGTTTAGGGTTTAGGGTTGGCGGCTATACGTCCCAACCCCAACGCCGGAGATTCTGGCACTTCTTCAGCGGTGGCAGGTCATAGTCCTCTCATCCGGTTCGGAGCCTAGTCTGATTAATCTTGGGGGAGGCTCTGATGAGTCTGATGCTGGTGGAAGAGAGTCTGCCATCAATGAAAGTGAAGTTCAGCAGTTGATTTTGTTCAGGGTTCCTTGGTGAAAGTCTTGGCCTGGCCTGGCGCAACCAGATTGCATCTCGTATGCGCTATGTGTACACACACATAATACGATATACTTGAGGTTTCATGTTCAGGGTTTTTGTGACCCCCACACCTGCAACCCCAGAGGAGCACCTCACTTAACAAAAGATGCAAAGTCGGTGATTTGGGTTTAGGAGCTAATCCCTAAACCCTAAAACCCTAAACCCTAAAACCCTAAAGCATAATAACGTTTAGGGCGCAAGGACGCATGACATCCAGTCCGAGGCGGCCCGTATACCGAATACTCATCAGAAACCCTAAACCCCAACCGCAAACATTCCTGAACCCCTCTAAGCGCAGAAACTCGCCTGAATGG